CTGTCCCGTCCCGTGACAGCTCTCGGTCACCACGACCGCTGCTCTGGAGAGACCGACTGTTCACCAGACGACCCGACGGTTCAACAGCCTCCTGTGGTCTGAGATACCAAACCCCCAGTAAACCCCAAAGCCAAAGCTAGCTAGCCACAGAGAAGCGCAATTTATGGCCTTCGCTGCGACACGGCCGACAAGACCAAAGGGCAACCATCATACCGAGATGCTTAATGCGTCTGGCCAGTCCACGGCACCCAAAACCACAACGCAAGCGCGCCTACTCTCGATCATAAACACGCACAGACCTTCTAGCTGTCCCGCGGCCGGCACGAGAAGAAAAAAAAGAGCAACCATTATACCGAGATACTGCTGCGCCTGGCGAGTCCACGGCACCCACAACCCCAACGCAAGCGCCACACCCTCCATCATGAAAACACCATTTTCTTCTGCTATTGCTACCGTATCTGTCTTCAACCCGGAGGGTAGCATAGCCTCTCCCACGACGCCCCCTCACGGAGTTGGTCCCAGATCATGGCCTTTTGTGTTTTCCGCCACACTGGGACTGACGTCTTTTCATTGGCCAGCCGGTTAGCGCGGTCGATGCTAATAATAAAAAAAAAATAAAAAACACACACACGCACCTCCAGCTGTCCCGACACGCTCTTGAAAAAGGCGGTCGGTCTGACGATGCTGTACCCGATCTCCCCCGCGTTACCCGCCTCCACCAGCTTCTCCTCGAACTTCAGCTTCGCCTTCTGGAACTGCACACAGCAACGCCGACAAGGACCACAAAGCAAACACCTTGGTTGGGGCGAGATAATCGGGAATTGCGCGCTGGAAGCTCAAGCTTCCGCGGCAAGCAGACACGTCGGTTGACCGCCAGTCGTTTCGTACGAGGCGGGTGCGGGAAGCTCGAGCTTCAGCAGCACGACAACGAACAGAGAGGGGAGTTTCGTATCCCTATCTATCCCTATGCCTACCGTATATGACACAAGATAACACACCCCCTGGACCGATTTTCAAAGCTCGATTACTCCACGACGAAGAGGATGCATAAATGAAACAATACGTTTTCGAACAGCTCTCGACGAGACGGTTCCAACGCCGCCGTTTTCGGCGCTGTGACTCTTCCTGCTGTTGAGAAATCGAGCTTTGAAAATCGGCCAAGGGGGTGTGTTATCTTGTGTCATATACGGTAACCCCCGACCCCGCCCCGTACCCCACACTAAAACCCCACCTTAACTCCCTCGCGAACGCTACTGCGCGTACAGCATATCCCTATCCCTTAACCCTACAACAACCAAGCTTAACACCCTCGCCAAGGCTACAGCACTACTGCGCCTACAGCACACCACACAGGTAGGGTCCCCGTGTATCATCCCGGTGCCCCTTACCCCCTGGATGGTCGCCCGAGTGCTTCAAAAACCATTCGGCAGACATACCCATCCGACAATCGTCAACCCCCACGAACACTACAGCACCGTAGTACTGTACCTGAAGAATCGGGTTCTTGACGCAGAACGCCGACAGCATGACGAAGTGCGCGGCGCCCTCCTTCTTGGCCGTCTCGAGGCAGTTCAGCGTCGCCTGGTAGTCTATCGCGAAGCTGTCGGACTTGGTGCCGCTTCGGCTCGCCAGGCAGGAAACCAAGCCGTCGATCTGCAGCCGTCAGATAGGGTGGGACAGGTGTCCCGTGCCACCGCCGCCGTTGGCCGTGCCAACATCGCATAAAAGAAGGAGAAAATGTTAGAAAACGGCCGCAGTACATCCAACTAATAGTTTGCTGTACCCCAAGCAAAAAACAAGTGTATATCCTTCTTTACGTAGTCGATAACCAATACCTTGAGACAAAATTCTACAGCAGTATGAAACTTCAAAAAAGGACTCGGAGACAAAAAACGTCAAAAACGGGTCGAGGCTCTACTTCTTATTTCGTCGCCACTGCCATCGACCACAGGGTTGTTATATATTATAGAGTACTCCGAGTAGTGTAGGGCCCACCGCTAAGCGATGTTTCTTAGACCTACATGTATTCTCCTATTTTTCGTGGAATTTGAGCCTCAAATTCTCAACTGCGAGCCGGTCCTGTAAGCAGTACCCGAACGTGTTCGGGATTTCGGGGGGTGATTGGTAGAATCGAGGGTTACAGGTTGATTTAACGGTAGGCCCTGTTACGTGCGGAGCGGCAGCGACTGGCACTTGTGCATGTGAATGTTGTGGGAACCTACGGCAATCAATCGGCCAGAGACACCTCAATTTAATCGTGTCGTGAACAAGCGAGTGCCCAACATGAGTGCGAACAGGTCTCAAGTTCGGTTCTGTACATTCTGCCTGAATGTTGCGAAGTCGTCAGAATCTTGGCCGTATTCGTTGCGGCGAGATAGAGACACCTAGCCATTGCCATGTAGTCTAGAGATCGGGGTCGACGCATGCTATTTGCATACCGCAGGCGCGCCGCAGGCAATCCACATGGTAGCGTGTGTACCATGTGTGTGCGTGTGTGTTTATCACATTTATTCTGGCGCCGGTTTACAGGCCTTTCGTCGGCGTATATACCTGTCACACAGGAGCTCTTTTCGTTGTTGTTTTTGTTTTATTGCCCACGTTTCCCCCTGCGGTGCTTGCCTTGGGTTTTATCGCGAGAAGGGTTCAGTCATCCCTTTCCCTCGTCGACCGTGAATCCGAAGCGTGTTTACCCACGACCTACTAGATCGTTTTCCACGCGGCAGCCAAAGCCAAAACCCCACCCGAGAGGCTACAGCGCCGAGAACCAAGCCTTATCGCCGACACAAGCGGGCGCAAAAAAAAAATGACCAAAAAACATGCCCAACCCAAAACAGTACCAGGTACACAGTTTCTTTAATAGACGGCAGCTGCCATGACCAAAGAGATAGAGAGAGAGACAACCGCAGCAACTCTAAAGCCCCCTACGGAACTTTCTAGTAAGTCAGCAGCTGCAACCACCGAGAGAGGATAGCGGCAGCAACGCAAACCCTGATGTACGCTTTCAAAAAGTCAACACCAGCTACAGGGAGAAGAGAGACAGCGGCCGGCAGCAACTCTAAAACCCTGATGCATATTTCTCTCAAAACTCCAGCAGTTGCTACCACAGAGACACCGGAAGCAACTCTAAAACACTCATAAGCATTTTTCTAAAACTCCAGCAATTGCTACTATAATAGACAGAGACCCGGCAGCAGCAGTAACCCTAAAGCCCGCATGAAAACTTTTCTAAAACTCCAGCACCTTCTACCACAGAGAGAAACAGCAGCAGCAGCAGCAGCACTGTAAAACCCTCATGTCTATCTTTTACGAAAGCCATCAGCAGGACAGGAGCGCCCTGACCCACCCACCCACCCACCTTTCGTCCAGCTAGTGCCGCGTCGACGCTAGCCGGGTCCGTCACGTCCGCCACCACCATCTCCGCCCCCTCCACCACGGCGTCCGGGTTTCTCGTCAGCGCGATCGTCTTGTACCCGCGCCGCACGCACTCCAGCGCCACGAACTTGCCGATGTAGCCGGTCGACCCGGCCACCGCCACCGTCATGTCCTTCGCCGCCTTGGTGACGGTCATGTCCAGCGACGTCGACTGCGATCTTCGCCTGGTGGATTACGTACATACAATACAGCAGTAGTACACGGGCCCCGTAGACAAGGAACTTGAAGATCGGGTCGAGGCTTGAAGAGTTTTTTGTGTCGTCGCCACTGCTGCTGCTGTCGAGCACAGGTTGATATATCGCGTAAGGATCCGCCGCTGAGGTGCGTTTCTCACACAAAAGATATCTCAACTGCGGGCCCGTGCTCTGTAGTATATACAGTACAGCACTTAAGAACTTGACTTAGATAAAGTCTCGAAAAACCAACTCGAGCACCATTTGTGAGTTTGGCTGAGAACCCCTACCGAAAAACCTATGTAGCGGCCATTCATAACCTAACCCTCAAGGAACCAAGAACCTCACCCTCGACCAAGAGTAGAAGGTTTTCAAGTGCAGGCGCTAACTTTTCGGATGCGCGCATTTTTTGGGGTCCTTGATTTTTGTGCGTGCTGTGGTATCTTATCTCAGCCTTCGATGGTTTGAATACCCGGTGGAGTGAAGTGCCGGCACGGACCGTGTTGTCTACACCCTGAAACGGCCAGGAAAAGGCTGCTGTCATGACAGCGGAGTCGTGGCGGCTGGGAGAAAGGGGGGAGGAACGTTGGGAGGGAGGGCTCCATGTACGCAGCAACCAACACACGAAAAAACTGTCCGAACGATCTTCTGCAGGGTAAGCAACAGCAGCAGCAGCGGCAGCGGCGGCGTATGCTGGTATCCAAAACGATACCGAGACTAACATCAACAACACGAGACATTCCAAGCCATGGGAGCACGCAACGGAACTAAACGCCGCGGGCTTGAAAATACGGTCAACGAATCCTGGCAGGAGGCGGGGTATGTGCGTGTCTCCATGTGTGCACAACGCATAATAGCATCATAGTATTGGACCATCACTTCATATCGAGCGGCGAGAGGTGTGGCAGCACAACTAACATCCCTCGCGCAACAACATCCATCTCGGGTTGCGAGTCCTCGACGTGTTATCGTTCTGAAAAAAAAAAATAATGGAAAATTCCCAAGGGGACCAGCAGGTGTGCCGCGACCTCTAACGGCGGCCACACGAGAGGCACCGTGCTTACTGCTCGGGGGGGGGGGGTGCCATTACTGGCGGTTCGGTCACCGCCGAGGTGTATGATAGCTGACAATAACAAGACCAGTGACATGGCAGAAAGACTGTACAATACTTCTACGAAGCAGAGGCAATGCATTCTCTCAAGGAACAAACAGCAGTCGACCCTCGTCCAAATCAGTTCCCAGCGTCTTTCCTACATTGTAACGCCTTGCCGTCTCTGACAATAATCCCGCAAGGCGCACGTGCTGCACACAACAGCTGGAGCTTTGTCGTTCATAAGCCCGCGTGGAGAACAATCCCCGAAAAACCAGAAAGAGGCTTCGTGACAGAATGTGTGCTGCTCGTGAAATCGTGGAAAACAGACTGTAGCCTCCGCTGACGCTACGGATTCATTGCAAATCTATAGACTGTTTTCTATAGATAGAGATGGATTCGTTCGGTCATTTTAAGAAGAAGCTGGGCGCGGCAATTCTCGACTCTACAGATCCATCGGTCGGTGAATTTCTGACTGATTGTTCCAAGTAGTCACAATCCTGGCCAGCACAAGAACTAAGCGCCGACTACAACGAGCCGCGTTTCGCCCGGTAACAAGCCCCGACCGACGCGGGCGAGAAGCGGCGCGTTTGCTTGCGCGCGTTGCCAGAGCGCGCAAATAATATGGAGCGTGACCTTCATACTATTAACATTTGGTGTCTCAAACATCCACCAGTGAAAAGTCGTTCATTATTTTCTATTTTCTGGTCGACAGCCGCCGGCTGCTGCGCTGGAAGAGGCGGCTACATAGTATTAGGAGCAACATCAACACAGCAGTCTTCGAGGCAAAAAACAAAAAACGACGATCCGACCCTCCCCGGGGTTATTACTGACGAAACCAGCGTGTCCCTTCTCTACGGCTACTGGCTCCAACTCTTCTCTGGACCCAACTGCAACCTACATCCATATCTTGTGCTTATGTTTTAGCCTAGCCTTTCTCCGTGTTTTTATCTTAACCTCTCGGTAAGCTGTTCCCCTCGAAGGCGAGGCACGCGATCTCCTAACAGAACTGGGTATGTGTTCAGTGTTCAGTGTTGAGTGAAAAAGGCGGCCTTTTACCTTTTACGCATGAACTGGGTTTATGTTCAGTGATGAGTGAAAAGGCGGCCTTTTACAACCTTTTACGCATGTTCTTTTTGCCCGCATGTTCTCTAATTGGTCTACGGTCTACGGGTCGTGGCTAATTGGTCTACGGGTCGTGGCAAGTATCAGACCAGTCGAACTTCTGCATACAAGGAGGCGTAGTTGAGGGATCAGACTGGTGGCGGTGCTGGCTTCCACCTCCTCTTTGCTTGCCGGCATGCCCCTTGTCTCCCACCCAACGCATAAGCGCCGCTCTATGTAAATGAGCAGGATGGGCGCATGATGAGCGCTTGTGCCATTTGAACCTCTCCCATGCTCATAATTATTTGGTTTGTGAAAGCATAGGTCTCACCACGCAACGACAGCACCAATCTCCCACCTCCAACTCAGCTTGTGGGGACTCATGACAACAGACCTTACGGCAATGATCTTCCCTCCACGCAGATCAGCATGATCGATCAAGGCGCAAAGCTTTGCTTCAAACCAGAGGGCAGGAACAAACAACGACCAATTCAAAACACCGTCCGCACCTTCGCATATCCAGCGAATTTCCTACTCGCGGCAGCGGAGAGGAAGACAAAAATGCCAGGCATGCCGAAGGGAACGCCAGAGCGCAAGCCGACAGAGCACGGAACTTCATCGCGCGGCAGGTAGACCAGGGATGAACGCAAAGATTAATAGCTCAACACCTGCTGCTCACCAACCCAAAAGGGCCCAGGCCATGAACACCTGAAAACCCCCCGACAGCATCAATTCACATACCCCTGAATTTCCTCTGTCGGCCCCCCTGCTCTGGTTTGACCGCCGACAGCAGCACAGCAGTCGCCAACCCCTCTTCTCCTCCCAGGACAACCCTCTTCAGCCATGGGTAACGAGACAGTTCTGGAGAGCGTCCAGGTGTTCGGTCGCAAGGTCAGTTTGCACGGCGGCACCCCTGGCGGCCCCCTTTGCGTAAAGGGGTGAGATTTTGTGAGAGGTAGCTGTGGGGGGCACCTGAGGAGCGACGCAATCCATTCGTGGCTCTGTGTGGCTGTTCCGTGCCCCCCCGTTCACCTTCACCGTGTGGTGCCTTCTCTCTCTGAGAGAGCACAGACAACCAAAAGTGTTTTTGCGTACAAAACAAGGGCGATCGGCTGCCAATCCTTTGAGTGCGCGCCGCGCTCGGCGGCCCCCTCTCTCATGCGAGAGGGGTGAGATGCTCAAGCTCGCCAGGGATACACACCCTGAGGCAAAACGAGGCCCACGAAGTTCGTGAGGCTTCGCGCAGCTAGCTGACTTCTCAGCAGAGAGAGAGAGAAAGAAGCAGAGCCGCCGCCCCCTCTATTCTCCTGGACGGGTAAGGATGCAATGGTGTGCGACGTGGATGTGTGCTGTGTCGACGACTCGTGTGTCGGCACGGCCTTGCGTTTGTAGCTTCTCGAGTGTCGGTCTCTACTTTTCTTCACCATCGGGGACTCGAATCGCCTGTTGTTTGCCGGTACGCGGCTGCTGTAGCAAGCCGGCATCACATGTACTGCTGTAGTCATGGTCTAACATCGTAGGTTTTGCGTTCCTTGCGTTTGCCTGTAGACCCGCTGCTGTAGTGGCTGAAGCAACGGGTCTCTCTGCCTCGGCCATTTGGCGTGCCGACTCCATTAGACTGTCGTCAAGTCCTTCCTTCAGGTTGTGCGATTGCCGTTTCTCTTAGCCTCAGGAACCGACGTTTTCGCCAGCAGCATCTTGGCGTCCCTGCAATCCGCATCCAGAGTGTGCTGTACACAGCAGCAGCGCTAGACTAGAACCCACTGAGTTTATTCCCCACACGTTTCTCCTCGTGAGCCATGATGACGCTACAACGAACGCTAACTACGTTTTGGTCGGAACCAATGATGTCGACTATCTCTGTGGTTCTGAGTGCTCTTCGTCTGAGGGTTGCTGGGGCCGATCGTGACTCGATTTTTTTTCAGCTTTTACAGCAGTTGTGCCGTTTACTCCAACCCGTGGTCACACAACTGTGGATAGCTTGCTTTTTGAACCTTTCTCCGGTCACATGCGGTACGATACCAGCGCATGCATTCCAGGAGCAAGGAACACGCATGGGTAGCGTTGAGATCGTTCAAGCATCGTATTTTTCAGTTCAGTAGCAGTGCCTTATTTCTCGGATGTCTCTCAAGGCTTTGTCCCTTGTGGACTGTTGTCAAACCCGTGGTTTGGATGGACATGTTTGGGTGTGCCGGTTATTGGGGGCCTGATGAGTTCAAGGGGTAAAATACCCCTGTTGTTGGGTGTATCAGACTCTGTTGGGGTCCAGAGACGAAACCCGGATTGTGTCCGTCTTGGGATGGATGAAACACTGCCGTGTGTGGAGTTGGTGGGTTTACCGTCGCGATTGTGTGATGCCTTTCTTTTTGTTTCCACCATGGACTGCTGTACTATCACATGCAAGGCCAGCCTGCTCTTGAGCCGACGCGGCGTTCACCGCGCTGTCCTTGGTAAGATCAATATTACAACGGTGGCGTTCCTTTGAGTGCTGACAGCAGCACACGTCTTTTGGCCCGACTATTCATGGCCGTCCTCCGACCTAGCGCTCTAGGCCGGAGAAGGGGCCATGCGCTAGGTCGGAATGAAGAGTCGGACGAAAGACGTGTATTGCTGTGGGCACTCAAATGGAGGCCACCGTTATTTTGAACGTACCAAGGACAGCGCGGTGGATGCCTCGACCGCTGTAGTCGAGCGACCCTGTCGTGTACATGTGTGTACAACGACCATTGTGGTGAACCGGATTTACCTGTAGGAGTCAGATCGATGACGCGGCTGTTTACCTCGCCTCATATGCATAATCATGACCGCGTTATGCATTTCAATGGCTTCTGGGGGGGTAGGGAGTTGCAAGTACTGGGTGGAAGAGCCATGATGACCTCTTTTTAACGCTAACTACGTTGTGACTGAATCAACGATGTCGACTATCTCTGTGGTTCTGAGAGCTCTTGCCCATCCCGCACACTTGCGTATCTCCCCATTGCACCTCTTCCCGCGCCTGAACGGTAGCATTTTTGTGTTGCGGTTTGACGTTTACCTCGTTCTGTTCGTCAATAGTGCACAAAACCATTCGGTCGTTCGTGGTTCAGAAGCCACGCATATGTATGCATCTACCCTTGCATTGTTCAGTTTTTTCGGTCTCTGTTTTGTTTTTCTTCTTGGCAAAACCCCAGCAACTGAATAATCACTATTATAGTCAGTTTTGTGTGTGTTTTTGCCGTTATAGACCGTCCGTGGCGATGAATCCACGAAGTCTGTGCCATACATACCAAATGCACCGCAGGTGCTCCTCGCACCCTTCCCTCAATGGTTGCGCTCACGCCATGGCCCATCATCGCTCCCCCCGACACGCCCCAACTCGTGCATCCATCCCGTCGAGCAGAAGACCGCTACCGCCGTCGCGTACTGCAAGCGCGGACGCGGCCTGATCAAGGTGAACGGATGCCCCATCGAGCTCCTCGAGCCGGCCATCCTCAGGGTGAAGACCTTTGAGCCCGTTCTCCTCCTCGGCCCCGCGAGGTTCTCCAACGTGGACATCCGCGTCCGCGTCAGGGGCGGAGGTTACACTTCGCAGGTGAGATTATACTCTATGTGGGCAAGGCGGCCTACTTGTCTTCCAAACAACCCAAGAAATAATTATTTTGTTGTACATGTTCATGATACATGTTCATGATCACTTGTCATTTTCATGTTGTGTGTGTTTTGTCGCGGTGGTGGTGGGAAGTTGCGAGAACGACGTTGCTTTCTTGTGTGGTGCGCGGGCTTTCCTACTGGCATGTATTTTCCAAGCAGATGTTGTGCGAAAGTCTGTGGAGACATGTAGGAAGGCTAAAGCGGCGGTTGTGATAGCGAGAGTATTGTCGCATTTTTCGGTGCGTAGGCTCGCGTCGTACATGTAGCGCGGGGAGAAGCTTGGGCCGTTCTAGACTGAAAGAGCGAGAGAGACTCCGTGATGAGTGTGTTCTTTGTTATACAACATCACTCGATCCACACGGAAACCAGATACAGCCCCGTGACTGGGTGTTGGTGTGTTTTGCTCAGCCCCCACTAAAGTCCAACACCTCGGGCGTCTCCCTTTCCTTTTTTGTGCCCCGCCCGCACCCCCAGATCTACGCCATCCGCCAGGCAATCGCCAAGGCCATCGTGGCGTTCTACCAGAAGTACGTGGACGAGGCCTCGAAGCGCGAGATCAAGGACCTCCTCATGGCCTACGACCGAAACCTCCTCGTCGCCGACCCTCGCCGCTGCGAGCCCAAGAAGTTCGGCGGTCCCTCGGCCCGCGCGCGCTACCAGAAGTCATACCGTTGATTCCGTTCGGCGCATGGCTGGCGCTTTATTTACGTCTGTAAAGAGGGGGTTAAGACAGTCGGTGGAGGATTTTGGCTGGCTAGGCTTATAGCGCTGGGTGCCAAAATTTGACGGATGTTTGTATCCTTTTGGGGGCGTTTGGAGGGCTTCGGTTGAGAATGCGCGGGGGTGTTGCTTTTTTCTGGCGACAAGAGCTTCGTCCTTTTTTCGTGTTCGTATCCCGCCGGCTGGCTGGCTGCTGTACGACTCGTTCGCGCTTGTCGATGAGACATAAAAATGAAGAGGTCATGGCGACCGTAAAACCTGTCACCGCTGTGTGTTTCTGCGCTTGCGTTGATTTTGCGCCCGATATCCCCTAGTCGGGCCATTCTCCGCTACTTGCCGGTGCTATGGATATGTATCTTGTGGCATTTTCGGAACCCCAACATTTGCTGACCTACTTGAACCGTCGGGAATATGTTTTTCATGGACCATTTTATCGACCACCTATCATAACCCCGGACTATCTGCACATGTAGAATTGTGGCGCAGTACTACAATTTTTATCGCGCTCGCGCTGCCTGCCGTCGATCGGGTCGAGACGGAAGAAATGGTGGATCGTGCACGCTGACATTCTGTACCTTCAGCAAGGCGGTATCACAACGCCGGGTGTTGGTGTTTCACGTGAAAGCGTTCCGTCCTCCACCCTCCTCCACGAGGCTTCCTGAGCGCCACATCAACGCTACCTTGATCGACTCCCGATCGTCTTGAGGCCATTTCGCCGCATGCGCCCTCGCCCCAAATATTTTTCTTGCGACTTCCCAGACAACCGTTACTCTCGTCAAACGGGAAAATCTTGATTGTACCACATGACTCACGTCAGCCCTCCAAAGTCGACACATGACGGAGGAAGCGACCCACAAGACACCCGCACACATTATTTGCCCCGCTTCCGTTGTCCGTACCAATGCGCGAGGTGCTCTACCATGCGACCAATACAACGACAGAGCAGCCATGTTTCCCTGACGTTGAACCTTTGCATAGTTTCGTTTTTACACTTCTGATGCTATTTAGTGAATCGTTGGCGGAAGCAGCGGGCCGACCCGGAATCGGCACGGTTCTAAGCCCTCGACCCTCGCTTCCACGTCGTCGCCCACTGCCAGAGGTGCTACCCCCGACGGGGTCCCCGTGAACAAGACGTCCCCAGCCTCTAGGGTGAAGAGCTGTGCGATTAACAGAAGTGTTCGGAGGGGATACTTGTAGTTGATGGGGGGTCTATGACCATGCATTGTGGGATTAGCATGCGAGGTTCGGCACTGTGAACAGGACGTATTTTAGCCACTTAAAAACGTGAAGAAGCTATGCGATTGACAGCAGCGCTAGGGTAAGAAGTGTACTGCCGTGCATCATGCGAATACCTTGCGAGATGCGGCAGCAGGAGGGGTGGTAAAGACTCCTGTTTTCTGGCGGGTGTCAACAGCTAAGGCGGCATGGGGGCGACACGCGCATGGATGCCAATGGGTCCGAGCTCAACACAGAGAAGATACGGGTTCGATCGAAACTCTCAGGAGCACGCACATGCGGCGCGAAAAAGGAGGGTTCAAGCAGGGAAACAGATTGCGACAGACAACGCTTCGACGACACAAACCCATCCCACGCGTACGTATATACCTCTTGCCAATTATTGCCTCCCAACTCCAACAACAGCAAATCGTGTAGACTAGCATACAACAAGGCAAGAGACACGACGCACGACCGCGGAGCATCAACCAAGCCCGTCCGAAGAAAGAAGGCGGTACCCTTCCCCATCGTCCCCCCTCACCTCCGACAACCTGGCGATCATCTCGGGGACGCTCCACACCATCTCCCCGAGCACCGAATCCTGGCGTCTGCCCCCCCCCACCTCCAACCATATCCGCCGGCCCCCCTCGTCGCCCGCGAGTCCGGCGGCAGCGCCTACCCCCCCGTCCTTCGCCGGGAGAGTCGGGGTCAGGGCACCGATGGGTCCAGAGCTGTCGAAACCCTGCCGCAGTGACGCACCGGTTAACAGAAGCAAGGCGTGAATAAGAACGCGAGCGTATGTTTTCGAATGCAGCCTGTTGGCTGATGTATGCAATCCACCAAGTTGTAGACTCCAGAAAACGCCAGCACCCACCACGGAATGGTCGTAGGGCGTTCTAAATGATTTGACTGTTTCAGTTTTTTGTTGGGAAACGAAACGGTACCAAGAACGAAAGGACGAAATGTGGTACGGAACGATCCATGGTAGCCGCGCAGGGTGGGAAAGAAATCGGGGGCGGGAGAAGGGCGCGCGGGGGGGGGGGAGTTGCTCTGCCAACGATTTGGTAAAAATAGCATTTCTAGCTTCCGACGATACAAGTAGCAGGAGCTTGTCAGCGGCGTGGCATACGTCACCTCTGTGTGTTTCATCTCAGGTACTGGCTACAGAGGTGCAAATACGTAGCAGGAGCACAAGGCCTTTAGTCGAGCGTATGCATGCCGACACGCGCCATACGCTTTCTTTGTCTCTCGATCAGTGCGCGCACCTTGCTACAGTCCCACGGGCGACCGGCCTTCTTAGCGGCGCGCTGCATGTCTCGCCGAGTGAGGTCCACGCCAACGCCGTAGGCGAAGACGTGTTGCAGAGCGTCTCGCGTTGGGATGCCGCGGCCTCCTGCCAGCCGTTGGGTTACACAAAGCATGTTGACGTTGCTGTGGTGATGAACTTCTCGATTGTTATCTTGTAGAGTGTCGTGGTGTACAGGAAGAGAGGGGGATGCAAAAGAGATGCTGGAAAATTCTGCCGTGCTCCAAAACTGCATCGTCTACAACTAAAAGCTGCTGATTTAACACTGCTGCTGAAGCGTATCCAAAATCTTGTGCGCATGTTTGAGGTCCCTCTTTATCTTGAAAGTCAACGCCCTCGCGGCGAAATTCCGTGGGACGCTCCCCGTCTTGGGAGACGCTTCACACCCAGTTACTAACACGTCGTTACAACACGACGGTGTGGGCGAGTTCGACCGTACGTACACCCACACAACAATCTGCCCGACACTATGCTGCACGAAAGCAGAAAATCAACCATACCCAATGAATGCACAAGGTTTGGTGTGTGTCCTATTCTACACGGAAGTACGTCGTTTTGCCGCGAGTGATTCAATCAGCCGCTGCTTTGCGTTGCTTCTAAGGCGACAACAATGGACATGTTCAGCACAAACAACGATCCTATCCATCTACCAGGTACCGTATGAGTCGGAGAGATGGCACCCCCGCGTTCGCGTTTTTTTGTAGCGTATTTCTCCACAACTATAATAGGAGGGTGCGAACACCAACCGATACCTCTCAGGAAAGCCGTCGACGAGATGTTTCCAAAACCACCCTTTTCGGCAGTGGTACCCCCCTGGCTGTGGAGCAATACGCTATCCAAAAACACTAACACGGGGGTGCCATATCTCCGACTCTTACGGTATGTATCTCTTTGGAGCGGCACTCACTGCAGACCCACCCTTCCCGATGGCAACGACCATCTCCACCTCGTGCTGGAGATCTTCCGTCTCCGGCGGGTAGTGGACGACCGCGCCGGCCGCGGAAACGTCGACGGCGGCGTCCGGTGGCTTGGTGAAGAAGAAGGGGGGGTCTTTGTCCGGGTTGCCTCCCATTTCCAGCGCGTGCTCTCTGTCAGCATGAGC